CGCGATCATTTTTTAAATATTGACGATTCCAGTGACTTTTGTATGAAATAGAGATACTTGAAAATGTTTAAAACAGGTAAATCATGAAGATAAATGAGTTTATGAGCCGTTGAGTTGGCGCAATGAGAACGCTGAAGAGGAAGATTGGGGCGTTGTACGATGAGTAAAAGTCTTGATGTCAATGTTGGGTCTGAAAGAGTGTTTGGTATAGATGATCTAGAATTTTATATAGTTGCAAAGGTTTTATGATATGTTGAATTACCAGTTTTTATGCCGCGATATACGTAATGGAGTCACCTGCTACGGTGTAGATATGGCTGGGTGTATGTGTGGGTGTGATTGTGAATTATGATATGGATGTGGGTGTTATACTTTTCTTATATCCATATCCATCCACCCACACCCGTCTGTAGCAACGATCTAGAATAGAAGTAAAAAATCGTAACCAATAGACTTCATGGTCCCGTCACAGATCCTAAGCCGCAGGTTATATGTTATTATAATGTGTCAACATATACATGTATATGTTAGTTTTACAATAGATCTATAGGTTGCTAAATCGTTTCATTTACAACATAAGAAGCTCTATCGTGTTTTACAATTTTAATCGCAAAGGGATATATGAACAGCTTTTTCTTTCAATGGTTCATTAGAACAGTAGTTTTGATGATTTCCTTGAAAATTTGTAGAAAAAGTTGAACTGTATTTTCTTTTAGTTACACCTGCACCTAATACGTGTAGTCCTAGCAGCAACGTTTGTGGTGCTAGTTCTGATACTTCTGGTGGTTATCATTTAACTTTTTATCAATATTTTGCTGGTAACAGTACAGCTGGTAAAGGTGGTGGTGGATATTATTGTCCTGGGGGTTCGATGCACTATGCTAATTGTAATGCGTCTTGTAATTATGAAAGTACTTATCTTGCTCAATGTCTTGCTTGTTGTAATGCCTGTTGTACAACTCCTGCTGTTAGAAGCCGTGCTATCATGGATGATGGTTTTCTTGGTGTTCATCGTCGTACCTTTGATGCTCGCGATGACAGTGAAGATGATGATCGTCGTTAGTCATCCAGGTATGTTACAAGAATGGAACTGATTTTAGTAGCAGACTAAAGATTCACTGTTAGCAATTAGTAAATTGCTCATATTCTTTGTTTGAGACTAAAATCTCCAAGATATTTGTTTTATTTAGTTACATTGTCTGTTCTCTTTAAGAACCACCATCTAAAGAAGAAGCAACAATTCTTCCAAACAACTTTGTTGACTGTCAAGGCATCATAGAACATTTTTATTCATTATTTAATCTTTAGCTTTAGTTTCTCTATTTTATTCAAATTTTTCCACGTTAATCCGTTACCTTTTTTATTTTATCTTCTGGTCTAGCTTTTCTATTTTATTCAATTTTTTTCATGCTTATTCATTATCTTTTTTTATTTTATCATCAGCTTTAATTTTTCTATTTTATTTAAATTTTTTTCACGGTAATCCGTTACCTTTTTTATTTTATCTTCAATGCTAATTTTTTTATTTTACTCAATTTTTCCATGCTAACTCATTACCTTTTTTATTTTATCTTGACCTTTTATTTTTCCATTTTATTCAAATTTTTTGCACGCTAACCCGTTTCTTTGTAGTATCAAAACTTAGTATTTTTCTCATTATTTGTGTGTTTCAGTATCTTATATCTCAAATAAAATATACTTTATATTGCATATGCTTGTCTTCTTTTACGAATAGCAACCCAAGGAAACGTAACTTCTCAAAAGAAATACTTTTTAATGAAACAGCATAGCTATTTACACAAATGTGCATAGTTATTAAATTATTTAAGTAGCTGACTCCTTTCCTATAGAATTTCTCATCTGTTCTTTTATTGGATAGCTGACTATGGAGATCCCGTGAGATTCGTTTTTCTCGAATAGGTATCAAAAAATTCAAATTTCTATGATAGTTCTTTAATGATCCTAGCTTTGGATAGCGCATCAAATGATGTACGTTAATGAATCACATATTGCTACAAATGGCGTAACTATTTAAATAATAGTACGTATTTTTATACAATTTTCCAAGTTACATGATTCAAGTAGCTATTTAAAACCATAAATTATGTAAATAGCTGATTCCTTTTTGATTAAATTTCGGGGTATTTTTATTGCGTGGCTGACTATCAAAAATCTGTAAATTTCTTTTTTCGCAATAATTTATCAAATACTTTCAATTGTTATGATATTTTTTTTAATAATGTCAGTTTTAAATAGTTCATAAAAGGATATATATTAAAGAATCAAGTTTTGTTCCGCCTGCCAGGGATGTGTAAACATCCACAGGGTCTCACGGATGCATTGCACCTGTGAGAGGCGCCCCTGGGCTACTGGTAGCCACCTTGTCTTGTTCTTAGGCTAGCCCCCTACTAACGGGACGATATAAACCCTACTGGCTACAGAAAAGGATCAAAGAAAGTGCATAAATGCAACCAAATCTACTTTCTTTGGTGGATGGAACGTTCGTTCGTGCTTTCGGCAAGTCAAGAGAGACATTATATGCAAGCAATTACAAAAACATCGAATTCAAATTGCAGCTTTAAGTGAAACGGCGATGTATGATTCGGGTGTTATTACAAAAGATGATTACTCTATGGTGTATTCTGGTGCTCCAAGTTCCAACAAAACAAGATCTGCTCATGGAGTTGCCATTTATTTAGACAAACATGCTGCTAGTGTTTGGAGGGAATCAGGGGCGAAATGGGAGGCGGTAAATGAAAGAATATTAATGATTCGGTTAAGTTGTGTGCCCATTCAGGTCTCAATAATTGCAGTATATTCGCCTATAAATCCAAACGGAAGTAAACAGGCAACAGAAGAATCTAATGCCTTTTACGCTAAATTACAACAAACGGTGGATAAAGTGCCGAGAGGAGATATGCTTCTGATTTTGGGTGATTTTAATGCTCGAGTTGGGAAACAACAAAATCTAACATCTAAAAATGTCATTGGACCACATGCTGTGGATAAAATAAATGAAAATGGAAAACAGCTAATAGATTTTTGTTCGCATAACGAGTTAATCGTGTCTAACACTTTTTACCAGCATAAGGCAGTACATCAGATGACATGGAAGCATCCAGCGACCAAAAAATGGCACATGCTGGACTATACACTTGTTAATAAAAAATTTCGTTCAAGTGTAGAGGATGTCAGAGTATTTAGAAATGCTGCTGGAGCTATTGGCACAGATCATCATCTCGTAAGAACAAAACTGAAGTTCCACTTAAGATGGAGGAAGAAAGCTGAAAAACCACAGTGTCTCCGATTGGACATAAATAAAATGAAAGATGTTGAGTTAAAAAGAGATTTCCAAGAGCAGCTCTCTAACAAATTGGAAGCTATTGCGGCACAAAAGAAGCCGATAAAAGAGAAATATGACGAATTTACTGAACATGTAAAGACTCTGAGTGGTGCAATATTTCACAACAAACAAAATAAGTCAAAAAAACCAAAAGAATGGTTGACCGATGAAATTCTTAGTCTTGTTGATGAAAAGGGAGCAGCTTTTGTTGAATGGCAAAACCATAGTCAAACAAGGATGCAACGAAAATATCGAAACAAATACTATCAATTAAGAAATTTGGTCAACAAAAAGATACGTGCTCGACGACTCGAATTCTGGGACGAGGTAAGTGAAGAAATCGAAAAAGCTATCAAACAACACGATCCAAGTACAGCATATAGGATGATAAGACAACTTAAAGGTGGAAGAACTAATGTAGACAATATGCCAATACGAAACAAGCAAGGTGATCTGCTCTCAGAGTCAGAAGATGTAATGGTTCGATGGAGTGAGTACTTCTGTGAATTATTGAATGTTCATTCTATTATAGATCCACTTATTATTCAACAAATTCCGATACCAAGTATTCCAACAATAGAACAAGTACGACAAGACATACCTCCATCTCTGTCTGAAGTTGTTGGTGCTATCAAACAAATGAAAAATAGAAAGGCTCCGGGTGTTGACAATATATCAGCAGATGTGCTCAAAGCTGGTGGTGTGCCTATGGCTAAATGGGTGCATGAGATAGTCTGTGATGTGTGGAATGAAGAAGTTATGATAGAGGAATGGACAACTTCTATTTTAATTAGGTTGTATAAAAGTAAAGGGGATCGTACCGTATGTGGCAATTACAGAGGTATATCTCTTTTGGCGGTAACTGGGAAAATCTTTACACGTATAATTTTAAATCGAATTCAAAATTTAGTTGACAAACAACTCCTCGAACAACAAGCCGGTTTTCGTCGCAATAAGTCTACAGTTGATCAAATTTTCACACTCAAGTTAATAATGGAAAAGTCTCAAGAATATAACAAACCACTGTTCTTATGCTTCATAGATATACAGAAAGCTTATGATTCTGTTGACAGAAATCTGCTATGGAAAATATGCAGGCGTTATAGTATATCTGATAAGTTAATTCGGTTATTAAAGCTGCTTCACAGCAAAACAAAAGCTCAGGTACGTATTGGAGGTAAGCTATCAGAAGCATTTGAAATAGAAACTGGTGTGATGCAAGGTGGAATTATATCACCGATGCTGTTCAACATATTTTTCGATTACGTTATAAGAAAAGTGATCAATGAAGCTGGAATAAACGGCATAAAGTTGGCTTTCGGTAGTAAAGATTTTTTTCACACAGATAAAGATCATTTTGAAGACCTTGATGTTGTGGCCTTGATGTACGCAGATGATCTAGTAGCTATAAGTGACAAAGCGGTCGATATCGAACATTTCATTCGAACGTTTGAGAGTGTCACCCAACTATGCGGGTTAACGATGCATGTTAAGAAAACATGCACTATGTCTATCAAACAATTTGAAGTAGATGCCCAAAATAGAATAATCAAAGGGCAAGAGGTTGATGTACCTAACCTCGATATAGTAATTCGTAATGAGAGAATTGAATCGGTCGAGGATTTCTCTTATCTTGGATGCATAGTATCGAGAATTGGGTCTATGGATAAGGAACTGGAAACTAGGCTATCAAAGGCAGCAACGGCCTTCAACATGCTTCGTAATACCATATGGTATAGGAAATCTGTATCTTTCGAAGCAAAGTTTCGAATTTTCCGTGCGTGTGTCCTTCCTGTGTTGTTGTATGGAAGCGAAGTTTGGGCGATAAATGTGGCACAAGAAAGAAGAATAAACAGTTTCTATATGAAATGTTTACGGACAATTATCGGAGTGAATCTAGGTGATAGGATGGCAAATAATATGCTGTTACAAATCACGGGACAACCACATATCGAAAACATAATGAGGAGAAACAGGCTGAGATGGTTTGGACATGTCAATAGGCTGAACAAAGAGGATAATGAGCCATCAATGGTAAAGAAAATTATGTTTTCATATTATCCAAATATAAAGCATCCAAGAAATGGTGGTATTAAAAAGAGATGGGAGGATAAAATCAATGATGATCTTGTTAAATGTCAAATTTATAATTGGAGAAGAGACACGCTATTTAGAGACAAATGGAGAGAAATGATCAACAAACAGGTGCAAGTTACGCCAATTCACAACAACATCAAAAA